CTTCAAAGGTGTTCAGGTCTCACGCCAAACTTTTGCAGCACCTTCCCCACCAGTTAAAATTTATCCTTCATGTGCTCCCCAGTGTTGCAGCCTATCTGCTTCACTCCAGATACAGGTTTTTTGGAACCAAAATTGCATTCTCCTCATCATCACGTCAAGCTGAACTGCCTCAGCTCTGCTTTGTCCCTGCAATAGTCGCAAGCAAAAATAACACATTATTCACCATGAAAGCGTGGGTTATGCAACAAAATATCTGTCATTTTGAAACCACAAATATAATTGGGCACTTAAGTGCAATTTTGAGGAATAGCTACAGGCATCATTTATCATAGGGATTTCAATAATGGCAAATATTGATGTCTAAAAAGCAAGAAGTTCCAACAAGAAGAAGAAATTTTATCCAATATAGTGTAAAGATTAGGTTTCTGAACTGGTAGTGACATTGAAATGTGAATGCAGACTATTGTTTAGATTTTTGCCATAGATGAAATAGCCAGGTTTCTTACCCTCATGTTCCAGGCTTTTCTCTGTTACTCTCTTTAAGAATTCAGCATCCCCAACAACTTGTGTGCAGAGTTCTGTGGAAAGGGTACAGTGGAAGAAATCTTCATCTTTAAAGGGCTGTCACTCAGGAAAATCATTTTAAAAACCCCAAACAGTTCCATTGACCACTATTCTGTCTGAGCAGTGTCTGTGTGCATGGTTGAACTGCTTGAGTCTGACAGACTTCCAGGGGTGTAGGTAGGACTGTTTTGAGCCTGACAGATGAAGGGCCCCACTGAACTCCATCTGTAGCAGCAGAGTTTGCACCGAGCTCTGAAGCACCCTCGTAAGAGCCACAAATCCCAGACCCCAAACGGAGAGATTCACCAGAGGGCAGCACAATATCACTTTCTATTGTAAAAGCAGGAGTTAATCGTTTCAGCTGTCAGAAAGCTCTTAAAAATTAGCTGCTTGTTGTTCCATCGTTATAATTTCAAATAAGTTTCTCTTTAAAGCCAGCCTCTGGAGCATCTCCTAAATCCAAGGTATTAGGCATTGATGTTTTAATGTCCAGGCATTCATGTAGTGGAAGCAGAGGGAGTTCAGGCAGTTGTGTTTTCAATGTATGTCTTCGCCAGGTTTCTGTCCAGGGCTACTTGGGGCAGCTGATGGGTGCTGGTCCAGCTTCAAGCATTCCAAGTGCTCTCCTGGAATATTCCCCAGCCTGGGTGAATATTATTTCAGCCTCATTTTTTTGGGAGTCATTAAACAGAAGGAGCACACCCTCTGATGTCACCACATGATAAGGGTTCACATAGGGTGAACCCTAGAATCATAGAATGGCCTGGGTTGGAAGGGACATTAAAGTTCATCCAGTTCCAACTCACCTGTCAGGGCAGGGACACTTTTCACTAGACACTGTTGCTCAGAGCTCCATCCAAGCTGGTGTTTAACACTTCCAGGGATGGGGCATCCTCAACTGCTCTGGGCAACCTGTTCCAGTGCCTCACCACCCTCACTGTAAAAAAATTTCCTTTGAGATCTAGTCTAAACTTACTCAGTTTAAAGCCACTCCCCCTTGTTCCATCACTACATGCTCTTTAAAAATAAAGTCCCTCACTAGTTTTCTTCTAAGTCCCCTTTAGGTGCTGGAAGGCTGAGATGTTTTTGTGTTATAATTGTATTTACTTCTGGTTGTCATGTCTGCTGAGCAGATTCTAGGTCCTTTAGCACTTATGCTAAACTCCTTCTGTTCAAGGAGCTAAGGGGAATCACTTGTCACGTTTTGCCTTCTCAGCTTCCTTCGTTCAGGGCTTCACCTGTCATCAGTCTGTTCCTAGTTATTTCTCTGTTCTGCTTGCACAGGTGTCTGCAGCAGTCACCTCTGCTGGTTCAAGTGCCACTGTGCTTGTCTGTGCTTTTCTGACCTCTTTCTCTCAGCATATAGTCAAAGCATTTTGTGCTGGTTTCCTGTAAATTAACTACATCTTCTGGCCTTGGTCATTCCCTTTGCTGATTTGACTTCTGCCTGGTAGGATGCCTCATGTGTAGCATCAGTCTTGTGCTTCACTCCTGACATCACACGCAGAGGTCTTCCTTGACTGACTGTTTCTGATCTCACTCCTTTTGAAGTTCAGTCTGAGCTCCATCTGCTCTGGCTCAGACCAACACTTCCTAACTCTGTACTGAAGCCTTCAAAGACAGAGCTTTTCCATGGGGCTGCTCCCCATGTATCCTTAACTTTTCTTAGCTTAAATATTATCTTTATTTAAAGTCCTGGAAACCTAAGAATATATATTTAGAATTTTTAAAAACCACTTTCCTTACAGTATTTGTTTAAGTTACATTACTTAGTCTTCTGAGAGTATAGTATCCTACTTCAGAGTAGATACAAAATTATGAACTTAGTAGTAGAAATAATTTATATATCATTCAAGACAGGTTTGTGTCTGCTCTAAAAGAAAATAAAAATGTGTTTCTGTTTTAAGAAAAAGACTTTAAATCCTTATTTCCTTCCTTCCTTCTCCTCCCTCCCTCCCTCCCTCCCTCTACTTCCTTCCATCTTTCTTCTTTATTACAGTATTTGAAAAAAAAAAAAACCTTTTTTCATTTGCATTTTTCATTCTTTTTAATTTTGGGGAAAACCATGGAAGAAAAGACAACAAAAATGATGAAAAATTATTTTGTTCTGTTTCCTTTGTTTTTACATTCCATTTTTATTTCAACACTTTTTTCAAAGGAAAAAAGAAAATGAGAGGGTTTTGAAGGCAAAAGGATTGGACAAAAGAAATGAAAATATTTTTAAATATTTTTTCCTAAGTTTTAGCAGGGCAGAAAATGTCTTTGAAAATTCATGAAAAATAAAAGTTTTAAAGGGAAGTACTTTCGTACTTTCTATTCAACCATCTTAACAAGGGCTTGGAGCCAGTTAAGGCAGCCAGCACAGTGTGCTTTGTAATGTTTTCTAGATGAGGACATTCCATCACCTTTACAGGAATCCATACCAATGCACAGTGCCTTGCATGACATCACAGAGGTCTTTGTGGGCATTACACCAAGTTTTCTCCTGACTAAACCTGATTTGGTTTCCCTTAAGGTCTCTCTGTTTCACAGTCAGTGCTATGACTGTGACTCACAGTAGAAATAACCCAACCTGGGCTTTAAAATAGGGATGAGGCAGAGCTGTGTCATCTGCTGTATACATAATTTTTAGAGTGATCTGCCACTGCTTTTGAATGTTTAATTTTCCAGGCTGTGCCAAGATAACCAGAGAGGCACATTGCTTGGCAGTGGTCACCGCTGAAGAGCGCTGGCTCTTGGGTGTCAGTGCTCAAGACTACCAGTAAGATGCTTGTGCTTTGCCAAGATCTGTGGCACCTGTTCTTCCTGTCTATTTAGGGGTTTGGAGAAGTTGCATAATGTCTGGCTTTCTTGTTTCTTGCCCAAATTGAAATTATTTAGCTACACCTTGAAATTGGTCTTTTCAGGATCAGCAGCTTTTCTTATCTTTTGTTTGTTTCTTCCCATTTCAGTTTATATCCAATGCCATTATTATCTGAAGGGAAAAGTTTTTTTAAAAAGCATTTATCCACTGTGGATAAATTAGTAGGGTTCTTCTTGGAAGGTGTTCAGTGCTCCTTCATGGTTGAAATTAATGAGTCCATTTTATGCAGGAAGAGAAATACTACTTGTAAGAGCTACCCAAGCTACCCAGTCACCTAACTTAGTTGTTATGTGTAACTGATATCTTCTCTGATTTACCAGATTTACTTTGATCTGAATGGCCTTTTTCTGGAAATAAATCTTCTTTTCTCGTAAGATTTTAATAACAAAATGCTGATATATTTTTGTATACAAGTATAATATCAGTACCTAGTTGAATTTGTTTTTACAAAGGATGCTTCTGCTGCAAAGAAATAAATATATGTACATGCATATTTCCTATACCAAAAAAAAAAAAGAAAATATATGCATTAAAGCAAGTAATTAGTGGCTTTAGACATTGTCAATCTTATATTTGTGCTACTTTTTCATTCCCAAAATACATCTGCTCATTTCTTAGCCATTGCATTCTATTTCAGTTTTTATCAATCAAGTCAGCCTGAAAGCCTGTAAATAGGCTTTGCATAACCTGTTCTCAAATTATGGAGGAATTGATACCTTCAGCAGTGAAGAATTAATAACTTCTTTTTAATTTTGCCATGTCAACCATGTATTGCATTAAATGTATGTACAGAATTTTAGAATATATTCTGTACCAAAACTTGTATGTCACAAGTAAGGTTTACCCAGGAGTATTCCCCATGAGCTGCTGTGCTGTAGCAAAAGTTGTGTTTATTCAGGTTCTTAAAAACCACCCTGTTTACTTTGCTCTGTTGTTTTCTCAGACTCAGGTGGGGAGAAGCTAAAAAAGAAAGTTCAGTATTGTTACTCTCCAGACATACTATTAAGAAAATAAGCATGTCACACAGAAATAAGACTGGATCTTATCTGCTGTGAGAAAGGTTTTTGTGGTATTCCTTTTCAAGACTTACCTAGTTTATTTGTCACTGCACTTTAAGCCTCGAATTACATGCAGGCAGGAGGGACTGAGAGAGAGGAGGTGAATGCTTGCTGCAGCTCTCTTTTTGGCTTGTTAACTTTGCAGAAGTTGTAGGTGGTTTCAAAAGCTCACTTTTCAATGAAATTTGCAAATATAACCACAAAATAGATTACTATGGCCCTCAAAGCAGATTTATAAATCTTTCCCTGAAGATCCAAGTACAGAGATGCTGTACTACCTTTTATTAATATTGAGGTTGTAGATAGGTAACAGCTTGTGTTAATATTTGACAAATCTGTTCTATGTAACTGTCAGAAATGTAGCTGAAAATCTCGCTGGCTGGCTGGCTTGTACTTGAAACTGGTTTTCATAAGATCTGGATTTGATAATCTCTCCTGCCAGACTTGTAGCTGTCAGATTCATTATCTTCAAAATTTCTCTTAACGTCTGATGGTGTTTTTCTTTCCTTCTGCAGAAACAGAAGGTGCATGCAGCACAGATGTCAGTCTTCTTCAAGGAGTAACTTCTTCAACCCCAAGTGATACCAGCTCCTGCTAGTACCATGGGGCTAGAGGGTGTTTTTTTAGGCACTGGACAGATCCACGTAATCCTGTGGGGAAGTTTGGCAGCCATGACAACACTCTTGTTCCTCACCTTCCTCATCTTCCTTTGCTCCAGCTGCAATGGGTAAGGCTCTAGGGCTTAATGGTTCACTTTGGACATAGCTTCATGTATAAATAGTTAGCAGGAAATACTTAGGACTGAGGTACAGAAATTAAAAAAGAAAGGTACCTTTTTCAAAGCAAACTTCAGTTTGAACAGTTCTATTCATTCTAAAATCTAATTCTATTTTTCTTTTGCTGTGAAGGAAATACACAATTGTGTTTATTCAGTGGTTTCCCCTAAGCAGAAGCCTGGAGCCCAAGTAGACACTGAGTGTTAGCAAATCACACCCCTAAGCTGAAACTGAGAACGTCAGGTGGGCTAAACAGGACCAAAAAAAGTCTAGGCAAAAAGGAAAGGGAAGTGATTATGTACTTCAGCTTTGCTGTGGCCATTCCTGAAGCATAGGGAATATAGCATTGCTCCTGCCTTTCATGCAAAAATGAGTAAGGATCAAACAGTGGTACTAATTAATGCCTTATGCCTTATCCTTATTTTCTTCTCCATAAGAGGATTCAATTTCACCCATAGAGGCACTTCTACTGGCTTTGTTTATGCATGTTTCAAGGCTCCTTCATGACATGTAAGCTGAGCCCTGCTGACTGCACAGAGAAGCTGGGCAGCCTGCAGTCTGTCCATGGTGCCCTTCCACAGGCAAAGCAGTCAGACCCTTCACTATGAGGAGTGGGACTGCTGTGGTCCATATTGTATATGGGGGGAAAATCCAGGACAGCAGCAAAATCTGCAGTTTGGATGCATATGTCTGTAAGGAGCATGTGCTTTCATCCCTCCACCCTTTGAGGGAATTGTGCGGCCATAAAATGCACTGTATTGGCACAAAATGTGTCTACAGTGGAAGAGTTTGTTTTTCAGCAGGATTTATCTAAAGCCCACCATGCAAAAAACCAGTTGTGGGCAAAAACAGGTCCCAAAGTTGGTTGAAAGCCTAAAAAGCCTAAGTTAGAACGTGTAATTTCATGTGATTCAGGAGAAACACTTTTGTAAATTGTAAGTTGACACTTCAGTATCTTCTTATTGTCACAGTTTGCTGTGATATCTGTGTAAAAAATAGTAGAATTTTTTACATTTATTTAAAAGTAAAAAGTCTATTTTAAATATTCTTTAGCCCACAAACATTACTTTTAGGTACTGTGTATCATCTTTAAGGCCTTTTCCAACCCAAATATGTTTTGTAACACACCAATCCTTGAAACATCTCTAGAAAGATGGGTCAAACCACTGAGTAATCTTTACAGTTACAGAGATACATTGCCTGAAATATTCTGGTGATGTTTTTTAATAAATTCTTGTGTTGCTAGTTTGGACATAATATCTTCTGTTTCAGGTCATTCTGTATGGCAGGTTGTTTATGCATAAATGCAATTGTGCAGAATTTCTTCCTGGCTTACTCTTCAAAAATGGATGAGGACATAGAAAACTGAATAAAATTTGCTCTTTCTAAAATATCAGAGTCAGAAAAACTTCCAGAGAGGAAATTCAGCTTTTAACTTTCTCTGCTCTTCATTGGTGCATGCTCACTTGCTGTTTTGTTACTTCCCAATTAGGTAGAATTTTAACAGTTGCTGATATGGAAGTACAGTTCACTGCAGACTTTAGAAGAAGCAAAAATTTCATATTGTCAATATTTTCTCACCTTTTTATTTGAATTTTCATCTAGGGGAAGGACTAACATTATTTTAAGCTCATACTTTATTGCAGTATTTCTGAACAAGAGCTATATTTCCCAAATGGTAAAAACTGGAAATGTGATCCATACTTAGACTCCTATGAAGGACCCAGGGAAGTGGAATTCCTTTAAAACTGTAGTCCTCTGCTGCTGTGAAATTTGTATGCCTTTTTGAACTGCTCATGCTTATTATCAATTTGACTAGCATTTTTAGTTATCTGGATTTTGTTGGCCTTTTCTAATTCCTCATAGGATACACACTTTTTTTCTGACACAGTTTAGGGGACTTCCTAAGTAGTCTGTAACCAGAATGTATATCTGAGAATTTCAGATATTATTAAATAGAAGAATAATATTTCTATTATCATGGAACCATAGAATGGCCTGGGTTGGAAGGGACTTTAAAGATCATCTAGTTCCCTGTCATGGACAGGGACACGTTTCACTAGACCAGATTGCTCAGAGCCCCATCCAGCCTGGCCTTGAACACTGCCAGGGATGGGGCATCCACCAGTAGTTGCTTCTTGGAGCAATTTGTTCCAGTGTCTCACCACCCTCACAGTAAAGAATTTTTTCCTAATATTTAATCTAAACCTACTCCCTTTCAGTTTGAAGCCATTCCCCCATGTCCTGTCTCTACATAATTATTTGTACTATATTGTAATAACCATCAGTCACTTCTCACTGTGATCTTACATTGAGTGAGAAGGAGAGTTTTGTGTGTTTGTTGTACCTCTTCAGTTATGTTTATCACCATTCTGCCTCAATGGTGTTTTTACACAGAGGTCACACCAATTCCTGTAACAATTTTCAGTTATTCCATTTTCAGTATTATTGTGAATCGCAGTTCTGTTCCCTGCAGGAGTGTAAGGTCTGTGAATGATTGGTGTTTGTATATTGGCATAATTTGTAGTAAAAGTTCATGTGCCTTTTTCATTAAGGGAAAAGAAGGCCAAAAGTCAGAATGGAGATCATGAAAATCTGATGAATGTGGTGAGTATTTATTTCTGGCAGCTTGTGTCTGTCTTGTGGTTGGTTTGTACCAAGCTCCTTGCAAAATACAACAGATTAGAGAATAGCTCAGGAATTTCGAGATGGTTGACCATGGGAAACTTTAAAAGTTGCAGAGGGGGGAAGAGGAGGAAAATTTGTGTAGATCCTGATAATCTGCACTTTCTCAGTGCCTGTTCTGCCACCACTGCACTCCAGCCTTCCCCTCACTCCATTTGCAGCCCAAGGCAGTGTACCCTTTGTCAGATGCTGTCTTCTCACGGGTTAAAGCCATAGTAATGTCTATTACCATAAAGCTTGAAAAGGACATCACTCTGGACATCTTTGCACTTATTTCTTTTTAACATCTGTAAACACAGACACTTAAATCTTTGAATCTAGTTGGCATGGTTTGCTTCTCCTGCCAATAATACCTGTGGGTCAGAGCTCCGGAGATGAGAATGAAATTGTTTGTTCATGTGAAGGTTCATTCTGACCAGCGGTCCCTGGTCTGTGTTGCAGCCTTCCGAGAAGGAGGTGTTCAGCCATTCCATCACGAGCTCGGTCACGGAGCCTCCCCCGAACAGTGAACAGAACGGAGCCCTCAGCAATGGCGAGGGTAAGTATGGCAGCCCCTGCGGGTGGGATGAGCCAGCGGCCCCATCCCAGTGCATCCCTCAGGTTTCTAGCCATCGGCTTCCCAAGCACACAGGCAAGGCATGTGTCAGAATACTCTGCACGCCTCTGCAGGTCTGACACCAGATCACACAGAACTTACAACCAAGGTAAAAAATGCCATGGAGTAGTTTGCCTCGCTGGGAGGTCAGTGGAGATGATCATCTCATGGAGATTCGGGTGGTTTAGGCTGCATCTCCACTCCACTCCTGGGCATGCTCTGGTACAGCTGCTGCTCCCAGTCCTCCACACCAGCCAGCACTGGGAGGAGGTGCTGAGGTCCTCTCCTGGGCCACCAGGTCTGGGTCACCAAGCCATACCTGCAGATTGACCAGGTGATCAGGCAGAGAATGGGACCTTCCCTAATCTTGGTAAGCTGTGGAACTGGGATAAAACCAGAAGATGAAGCTGCGCCTTAGAGTTTCAAAAGTGCTCCAGGAGGATGTGGACATATTTCAGGTCCTCCTCCAGGGATTACAGCTTTAGGTCACAGTCCTGTGCTGTGCTGTCACTTATATTTTCATATTTTAGAAAACAGGCAACATAAATAGGCTTCCTTTTTTTTTTTCCTTAGTCTTTGCTTTGCTGAACACTCAAAATGATTCACCCTGAAGTATCACTGGAAAATATTTTACTCAGCTGCACCTAAAAATAAACTCACTCTCAGCTCAGAGCCACTGGGAGCCAACTGTTGTCTTCACACTAACACCAACACCAGGGGCTGTGCTCCAACTTAGAGCTCTCTCCTCATCTCCTGCAAGCAGAGGCTAAGCTATTGAGACTTTGCCCCTTAGAGACAAGTATCCAAAGTAATCTTTAAACTTTGTTTTTGCAGCTAATTGCTGTTCCCATCCATTGGCTTGTTGTGTATGTAGGTGTGTGGTTCCCTGAAGGACTTGATGTGCAGAGCAAAGCCCTGCAGAATGGAAGTATTTCTTCTGCCATGAGTCACCACATGTGCAGCTGTCAGAGCTGCTGCTAAAAGGTGTGCTGTCAACCAGCAGACAGTTTTCAGACTGTCTGATATTATACTCAGCTTATACTCTGCATAACAGCCCTTCTGAATAACAGGAACCCCTGTGCTTTAATTTTTTACTTATACTTTATGCACTTTTTGTTAATAGTTCTTTTTATTACTGTTTCTGCTAGCTTTTTGAGCAGGGGCAGGGCTATGGAAGAAGAACCATCAAATGCTGTGTTTTTTTTCCTTTGTCCAACCTGCCAGCATTGTCTTATCTATGCCAACCCTTCAGCTACACCAACCCCTTCTGTTCTACCACCCATAACCATAAAAATAGAGAAACCTGAGCTCTCACTGCTTTTGGTTATCCCCTCCAGCCTGAATGGAGTGTGTGCTTTCTGGGTTCTGTAAGGGTGCTCAGCACAGCACAGAAATCTCTAGAATCAAGGACCAGAAAGGGAAAACTCCCATCTCCCATTCAGTGATTATCATCTCACACCTCCAGCTCTGTCCTGAGTTTTGCAGTCAGGGTATGGCTCCCTGCAGGTGCTGACTGTGTCTGCATGCCCTGAACAGAAGAGAAAGCAACGTCCATGGCAACCACCAAATCAAGGGCATTGGCAACCCTTCTGTCACCATGTCAAATACACTGAAGAACACAGAAGAATGGGTTGTTTTTGTTGAGATAGTGCCTTAGGAACTGTGCTAGGAAAAGTAAAGCTGTTCAGAAATGATTTTTTAAAGAAATAGTGTGAGATAAAGTTATCTACCATGCTTGAAACATGCTTGTATGTGTCCACAAATGCATGCAAATGTCACACGTGCGGTGTAAGATGAGAAGCCCCATACACTTCAGTCCCTAATACCCTCTAGTGACAATGACATGTGGCCCACTTCTGGGACCTGAAACAACATGTTCTGCCTGACACTACCTCCTGAAGTCTAGTCTTCTCTCTTGTGCATATGGCCAGCTCGTTAGTAGGTTGTCAACCAACATTATGTGCTGCGAGACTAAGAGAAGCATGGCTCAGCTCTCCGTGAGGAGCTTCTGCTGTGGCGTGCAGGGAGAGCTGAGCGAAGTGCAATTCCAACCAGAATTGGACCAGCATGTTAAACAAGCTGAAGGATGGTGGGGAGGAAGAAGGAATGCTTTCCTTTTGATTCCAAAGAATGGGGAAATGCAAAGAGGAAAATCTAACGAGGATTTTTTAAGGCACTTGGTTTGAGGCCTCCCACCTGTTTCCCATCTGAGACTGCTGAGCACTCTGTAATCATTCAGTGAAACTGAGTACAAGGCAGCTGAATATCCATGCACAGCTAACCTCCCACCCCCTGTTCTGACAGTGAATGCTGTTGCCATATAATGTGACTTGGGGGTGTACAGACTGTTTTAGATGTTGTGAGAAAGATATTTTACCAGTAGAGTGCAGAAATGTCTGTAACTGAAACGTTTTGATAAGCAAAAAGCACGTTAATCACCAGGCATTTCCAGGCATTAGCGTCATTTACCCTTTCCAGCATGTCACAAAAACAAAGTGATGTAGAGAGTACAAATCACACCTTTTAGTTATGCCTTTGTTGGTAATACTTCTCTGTAATTTTCTTTAGTTCTTTCTGAGGACAGTACAGCTGCCTGTATCCAGCCTTATGAAGAAGTACAGACATCTGATCTACTAGATCAACAGGATGGTCTTGGAAAGTCTATAAAGTGTCACCAGAGCCGGGAACTACCCAGTATTCCGCCTAACAACCCCATGGAAACTATAATCTCATCTAGAAATGCAGAAAATGATCAAGGTCTTGGAATGGAAGGGCCTTATGAAGTCTTGAAAGACAGTTCCTCTCAGGAGAACATAGTTGAAGACTGCTTGTATGAAACTGTGAAGGAAATTAAAGATGTTGGAGCAGTAGCCAGCATGGAAGGGAACTCTAACAGCAAATCAAAGGCTTCACTGACAGTTTCTGAAGGTCAGAATCAGATTCCTGAGTGCAGAATTGAGTCAGCAGAATATGCATCTGTTGACCGAAATAAGAAGAGTCGCCAAAGTGCAAATTCAGAAAGTCCTCTTGACAACATACCAGATGTAGAGGATGAGCTTCCCCCTCCAGTACCCATGAAACTTCTTGATGAAAATGAAAATGTGCAAGAAAAAGAAGTGGAAGAAGAAGTGACAGAAGGAGCGAGTAAACCAGAAAAGGTAAATACTGAAAATATTTGTCCTCATCAAACAGCCAAATAATGATTGAGAACATATGGTGGGAGAGGATTTTATTTTTCAGTAACAAAAAAAAAAAAACAAGAAAAAAGCCCACTCAAGATGAAGCAAGACTGTAAATAGAAATATTATAGTGTATAGTAGAATCTGTGTGTTAGAGCTATATGCTCATTCTATTGCTGCCTGTATTTTCTGTTGTTGCAGCTATGCACTACATAAGGCTTTTCCCAAAATATTATCCAGGAATTGCATAGGAGGCTTCTGCTTCTTTGTTTGATGGTATTATACTTGTGGAAGCTATTACAAAGGGCATGCAGTATCTCTGTCACCATCTATATATTGTTCTGAAGCCCCCTCTTCTTTTTTTCCCTAATGAAACTGCAATTTACAAAAAGGAGAGCGGGGCATCCTTGGTGGATGTCCTTACTTTAGATGTGCCTCTTCCATTGGTCCACCTTGACTTAGCTGTGCAAGTGTTGGGCACTCACTTTGTCTTTTGATGTAGGAGAGAGGGATAGAAAGAGAGAGAGACTGCAGCTGCACGCTTTTATATTTGTCAAATTCTGTATATCACGTATAAACAGAGTGTAAGGAATTTCTAAGTGCTGAAATCACAGCCAAAAATGAAGTTTTCTCAGCAGCTTATGCTTCCTCACTAGGAACGAGTTGTGGTGAATTCCTTGAAATACAAAATCATGACATTTTCTACAGTTTCTTTTCCCATTCGTAGTTTTTTATCAGAAGACATTTTAAGGATGCTTTCAGATCATAGTAGAGACTTTTCATAAATTGTTGAGTTTGCATTTTTCAGAATGTTTAGATATCTTCTTATTAATTGTGAATGAAAGAACTGTAGGTTTAGCAGGTTTCTGGTGTCCAAGTCATCAAATAATATTAGGTAGGTATTGATGAAAATTTCAAGAAAGTTTTTAAGATGCAATGTGACTTTTAAATGTAAATATTCATGTAAAAATCACAGCAGAGCTGAGGTATTGTTACATGTTTCTGGTTGTTCTCTTATTTGAAGAACTTCAGTAATCCAGGAAGAAGGCAGAAGAGTATCTTGTTAAATAAATAACTAACCATGTAACTTGTAAGGCACAATATAGCCCAAATGAATAAAATGAAGACTTCTTGCAGTATAAAAATTATTTAGCTAGACTCTTCATTGCACATTTTTACAACAATGATCTCATTAAGTAAAAAATTAAGATGTGACTGTCAACAATAATCCAGCAACATTGCCCCCTCCCACATTCCAGCCATAAGTAATTTCTAATTAGACTTTTAGATAAACAGCTTAGTGTAAAAGTGATATTTTTCCTACCAGGTGTGAAAAGACTAGCAGAAAGTAATTGTATTTCCCAGGCACCAATACAAAGGAAAAGCCTTTGCTGCTCTGTAGCTCCCCAGCACACCGTGTCTGCAGCGTCAGTAACTGCCAGGAGTGGGAATTGATTAAAATGGTTCAGGTTTTGAAGGATTAATCAAGAGATGACACATGCAGTCCCCTAAGTGCCGGAAAAAAAGGTGTTTGTCTAATTAAAATTTATTCAGAGCTGAAGCCACCCTGAGTTAAATCTTGGGCAGCATCAGATCATTGCCGTGCGCGCTGCTGGGTACATGCATTATGCATCGAGGTGTGTGCCTGTCCTGTCCTTGAGAGCTGCAGCTGCAGCAGAGCTGGAGATGGTAATTGATGGAATATATAAATGTCGTTATTGTTGCCGTTGTGTGGGGAGGGGGCTGTGGGATTGTTTTTCTGTTGTGATGATGATAGTTTTTCCCTGTATTTTGCTGCTTCAAGCAATGCAGAGCAACGCCTGTTTCTTTTGATGTGGCAAGCAAAACCAAGATGTTCATGGAAATGTATGTTACACTGATAACCCTTTTAGTTAGACTCCATAGGTGTTTCTGGTTTTGCTTCCTTTCTGTGAGTCTACTTAGCTCTTTGTTTAGCATGACATCTGTATCCCAAACTCTTCAACCTTCTCTGGCCCTGATGAAGACAGAGGTTGTGTGTACATCATGCAAGTCTCCATCACTGTAACGAGGGCACACAGAAGGGACTGGCAGGGAGGCACCTGTGTAACCAAGGCTTGTACCTGCCAGCAGAGAGAGCAGACTGTGTCCAAGCTCTTTCAGTCTCACCATCTAAAAGAGGGCAGCCAGCGTGATCCCCAGCCCATGCCAGTCCCTGAAGCACTCCAGTCTGGGAGAGAATTAGGTGGACCAAGCCAGAGACCATTCCTGTATATAACTGCATGAAAACTAGAAAGGCACCTTTTAAGAGCCAGATGTGAAATAATGGATGAAAATTTAACTAAACTGGTTTTCGGCTCTGACCCAGCCAAATCCTTTGGAAAGACTTGGTGAAGAAAGACACCTTTAATAACACAAGGCCTCTTACAGGCCTCTAACACCTACAAAACCTTGAACATAATTCTTCTAATAATACTGAAAAACCAGAATAGATTTCTTTAGTTCTTTCTTTTATTTAAAAAGGGAGTATGGATCTCCTTTTTCACCCAGGTCTTTCCAGAGCGAGCGAGCACTGGTAGAAGTGCTATCTGTGTGTCCGTTTGTCTGCTGCCATCTGATTTCAGCTTTGAACAATCTGAGGATAAGCAAAACATCTCTTAAAAATGCACCAGAGGAGAATGTTCTTGTTCTTTTGCCCATGTCAGGAGCAGCAGCTGAGCCAAGGAGCAAATTATCAAGTGCTGTCAAGGAATGAAAGGAAAGCAGAAGGCAAATAAGGACATGTGTGGTTTGTGTTGTTACTGTTGAGGTTTCAGCATTGTTTAAAATGTTGCTAGGTACGAAATATTTAGGGGCCAGTGGAATTTAAGTTTCCCATTTAAAATCTTAAGATTTTAAGATAACAATGTCCTCCAAAACGGATGTGTCACAAGCTTCACATTTAGAAGAAAGAATGCTGTGTCAGGGGAACAGCACAGGATGGCAAACAGCCTGGGGTATTTATCAGTACTTGAGTGGGAAACTGTAGAAGGGGTCCTGACACATGGTGCTTATAGACACACTGATGACAGAAAAATCACTGAAGAATTTTATGAGCACGTGCTTGTTTTAATGTGTGAGGATGAAATTAGTAGCTTACTCCCCAGCAGAAAAAGATGCAGATAGGAAAGACTAAAGCAAGTTGCTGTAGTGAAGCAGATTTAATACAAGGCCAAAATATATATTTGAATTTTTCCTTTTTTCTTTTGCTTTTTTTTTTTTTTTTTTTTTGGTTGCTTGGTTGGTTTTTTCAAGAGCAAACAAATCATAGATTAAAGAGCACTGTTCTCCAGTCAGTGAGAAAGAAGTGAGGGAGTTGGTTGGTGTAAGGGAAGCTCTTCAGGTGCAGCAGGCAGAACTTCAGTGTGCTTTGGGCCAGGGTCTGTCAGAAGTGCCCAGGAACCTGAAGTTTGGTATTTACCAGAAGTAAAAATAACAAAAAGATGGAAGGAGGAAATAATCTATCACAATGAGTCTCTGAGGGGAAAAAAAAAAAAAAATAAAAAAAAACCAAGCAAGTTGTGTGCCTGGAAGTGGTATTTTATTGACTGTGTTAAAATAGCTCTAGTCCTACATGTTGGCTTGCACTGGAGGTGGTATGAAGTATTTTAGTTGGAGAAGTTGTGTGAAAGTCCAAAATACAGCCTCTTACAATACTGCATGGCTTCCTCTGAATCGCTGTGGAGCAGGAGTCCAGCAAAACCTTCTTGGCCCAGAGAGGAGGCATCCCACAGCTGCTGTGCAGCAGCAGGGTCTTTGTTGTTGTAAAGGTCCAAAGGCATTTTTCACAAGAACAAAATGCTTTTCCCCTGATGTTTCATGACCTGTTTTACACAGAACACTTTAGATGCTTAAATTAGACTTGATACCAAACCTAGCCCTCCATCCTTCAGTGACTCTGCTGTGTGACCTGACTCCAGCTCAGGGTGGCTGCAGCAGGTCTGAGTGGTTGTGAGGCCAGGCTGCTGAGCACGTCTGCACAGGAACTGCATTCCAGGGGTGGAGGACACAGCTCTCCCATGCAGCACGTCCAGGATCTACAGAATGAAGGGTAGCAATCATCCAGAAGGTGTCAGCTGAGTATTGTTCTTTTGTCATCTAAAAGCGTATCTGAAAACCCTGTGAAAGGGCAACTGGTGTATCACAACAGCTGACTTTAATTGTTCAGAAGCCTCTGCAGATACTTCATAAGAGGTGTAAAGGCAGGGATACAGTGGTACAGCATTTGTTTTAACCATTACATTATTTTTACCCTTTTCAGGTCAGGACAAAAGCAGATACATTAAAAAGTTTTACTAACCTCAGGGCTGTTATCTCCAGAGAAGTACTCTGAATAGTGGGGGTATTAGCTATGTATAATGGAACTTGAGAGCAAATGACCATAAAATATAATGTATTTATTATAATGGGAGGGTTTTGTTATAGATTTCACACTGTTGATGGGTAATGAGCCTTTTATTTTCTTTCTTTCTTCCTTTTTTACAGAGGCTTAGTTCAGTGTCTTACAAGTCTCGAGAGGAAGATCCATCTCTCACAGAAGATGAGGTAGGTATCTTGCATGAAATTCAGTAACTAACTAGAGACCAATTTTTAGGCAGAAATTAGCATAAGCTCTGTGTGATTAAGCAGAATCTAAGAAAGGTGAAACTTGTGTGAAAGGAAAAGGAAAGCCCAAGGTTCTCTGCAGAGAACCATTCCTAAAATCAGAAGTATTCTAACATATGGCTGGATCAGGCCCATAGGTTAAAAATGGTGTCAGAAAATAATAGGAGGCCACAGTTAGTTGATTGTTAGGATAATTTCTTGATTTGGATGACAAGACCTCAAGAAGAATAACCAGCAGTCTCTTGAAACATATGCTCCACCTTCCCCATGCAAAGTTTGGGGCTCTAGGAAGTAAACTGAAGTACAATAAAAGCACTGGAACATAAACTGTTCTTTATGGCCAACTGTCTGTTGGTCAGATAAGTGGAGGAGAGTTAAACAAAGAGAAAAGTTAAACATAAATAACGCTGTTTGTGATCATCTCTAGTGCAACCATGCCATTTATAAATGTTTTCTGGACATAAAACTAAACACAAATTTGGCAATGAGCTAATGCCTTCTGCTGGGAGAAGCATTCTCAGCCATTAATGAATAACCTGATCTTGAAGTGAGTTAATGTTATCTAATACTGAGAAGAGTTGAAGTGTAGATGAGCAGACAAGCCATTTTTTGTTAGCTGAAATCAGTAAAAAGTAAGAAGTATTGCCATCTCCAAGATGATGTCCCTCTAAACAAACAAATGAACAAAAACCAACCAGCCCCAAACACTCAAAACCAAAACCAAAACAAAAAAAAAAAAAAAAACAAAAAAAAAAAAACCCAACCAACAAATCAACCAACCAAACCCAGCCCCACACAAACATACACACACACAAAATCCCAGAATACATTTTCATGCTAATCTACTCTTTTAACTGGATTGATACAAACCCAGAATGGCTTTGCATGCTTGGGAAAGAGTTCAAATATAATAGAAGAGCTATGTTGCATTGTGATATTGGGTACCAGAGAAGCTGTGCAGGGAATTTCAGCCATCTGTCTTGTGCAAGGGCTAGTATCCATTTGGCCCGGGAGAGGGAATTAAGACTGATTCCTGTGCTGGCAACAGCCCAGGTAATCCCTGAGCAGAGGGACATGTGTGGGTGTGGGCTTCTCCTCACCCCTTTTCATGAAGGGCCACTTTCATGCACTTGTTGAAGTGTACCACCTCACCAGAGGAAATTTTTAGTTAGGAATTAAATGCTGGCTCCCTTTCTGCTGTTTACAGCTGAGAGGATTCAGTCTCCAGGCATTCACATACTCAATGCCTGAGAAGCAGCTCTTCTTTGTAGGCAAAGTGTAGTCAACAGAGCAGACCTTTCATATCAGTACTGGCACTACTTGCTATTATCTGCTGTGAGTAATTTATCTGCAGATTTTTAATGTTGTCTTCACATGTGTTGGTGCCTATTTAGTCCTACCTATTAAAACAATTAACTATTCTTCTATTGCAGTGTCTCTAAAAGCATAAAAGTAGCCACTACCATTAAAAATAATACTTTTTAAATTATCATAAATTTAAAATTTAAAATAATTATAAATTTAAAATAATTATAAACTTAAAAATAATAATTTTAATAACAATAATAATTTTTAAAGCCCTAAGGATCAGACAGCATCCTTCTCCTACATTACAGCAGTTCAATCTGATCCTCCCTTTGATGCCTCTCTCCCTGTTGAATCCAAATTGACTCCAGAACCACAATAAAACTTGCAAGAACTCCTGCTCAAAAAGCCATTCCATTTTGCCCAATTCTAATTCCCTCACCAGAGTTTCATATTCAAGGAAGTTCTACATTTATAAACTTATTTTATAAAGCATTCTTTATTTGAAAGAAAACCGATCTATAAATGCATGTTAGAAAAGGAAGGATTTGTACGAAATAGTTGGGGTTTTTTTCCAAGGAAAAAATCCTATCCTTTTAGAATGGGTATCTTTTCATCAGAAGATCCTGTCTTTTCTTAAATAACCAACATCCTTGTAGTACAAGGGTACAGACTGCTGCACAATGCCATGCTCCATACTCAGCAGGTGTCTCCTTTTCCTAGATCTCAGCCATGTACTCATCGGTGAGTAAGCCGGGACAGGCCATCAAGGCACTGGATTCTCCTTACACCTGCATTCAAGAAATTGCATCTCAGAGGTCCCCGTCTATTTGCAGTGGCCTCTATGCAAGTGTGAAGGACTTTGAAAACACCCTAAATTCCACCACTGTGCCTCAGTCAGCGGACAGACCAAACGGGGAGCTGGAGCCGGACTATGAAGCTATCCGGTCAGTGAGCCAAGAGGAAGACAGGACCTTGTCGGTGCCCACCACAAACCACACTGCTCTTTCAGGAGAGAACGACTACGAGAGCATAGGGGACTTGCAGCACCACAGGGAATTCACCAGGCTTTAACTACTCCGGCAGCAGATTTCCCCACTGTTATTTTCAAAGGACAAGTGAAACGTGGAGAGGGAAGTGCTTTTCCTATGGAACACAAGTTGTGAAGAAGCGATGTACATTTCAGCTGGGGTGTGATAGCTGCTGGTTTTTCTGGGTGGTGGATCAAGGCTCATGGGAAAGGGTACGTCAGGTCAGAAAGACGACCAGGAAAATGTAAAGGTTTCTTTATTGTTATTAGCTCCAAGGCAAACGTAATTTGGGAAGGAGTGCCATGCTTGTCATCCTGACAGGATTACGTACCAAAAAGACTACACAAAACTAGCTTCTCATTTTAAGAGATTATTTTATGTCATTTTCTTCAAAGTGTTTTTCAAGCATAATTTTTCATTCAAGTTTTGGCATCTGCAATGTTGAGCAAACCACAGATAATTGTACCTCAACTCAGACTTACTCACTCTGCGGGGCTGGGGAAGATGCACTCACTTCTGTGTCTTTTGGGGAGCTCTGTCCACCTTCACTGCAGCTAAAGTGCAAACAACAGTTGTTCACAAGGGACTGACTCCAAATGTACTTGAATTAATTCTGCTGGCTTTTTCTTTTCTTTTTTTTTAATGTCAAGGGCTGTAGAATGTGACTTGCAGTATTTGAGATGTGTACTGGTATTTGTAGGGGTTTTGTTTGATTATTTCTGAAATATTCCTTTGAAATGGCAACGGTCACTCTTAGTATTCTTGCACTGTTTCCCTCAAATAGACATAAACACCTGCACATACACACCCCAGACCATTGTCATGTTGCAAAAATTGTGCAATTGAATGCATTGGCATAATGTGTAGTCTAACCTTAGTAGTGTTGAGTAAATTTTTTTTTTTGCAGAATTTTGCCCTTTTTAAAGACTTAACTATTTTAATGTTTGTCTAGTTTCTTATATAGGAAAAGTTATGTACTGTGTTTGTTTTACAACGTATTTTTCGTCTTCAAAGTTTTTGTAGATTAACTTACTGGGGTTTGTAACAGGAGGAATCCCATTCTTTATTTGGGCTTGGTTTTTGGTTTTTTAATTTTTTTTCCTATTTCAAAAGTAGATAAATGAAAATTATCTACTGGGGTTGTTTTGTTGACTTTTTCTGTCTCCTTGAGCAGGGAAATGGAACATGCCTTGCTGTTTTTAAGCTAAAATACTGGAGTCTATGTAAAAGAACACTGCCACAGGGCAAAAAAGAGGCAAAAGAGACAGTGGGATTTAGTCAGGCATAGCCACTAGTCCTCCTTGTTCTTCTGCTAAAAGGAGCAGGAGGGCAGCCAAGACCTACTAGGGCCTCTGACAAACAGCTTGAAAGCCACTGGCTTTTCAGGAATGCTGAGTTATTCTGTTACTGTGAAAAACAAAGTACTGTGCTTGGATGAAATAAGCAGGTACTGGATTGCTACCTTTTTTCTTCAAGAATAATACAATAAATAGTAAAATGGTACAAGAATAGTCCAACAGTAAAGAACAAGCATTGTGTGACATGCATGTGCACATATCCCCATGTATATAGGCATACACTTGTAATTTGGACACAAGTATAAGTTATAGTCCAAGCTTGGCAACATTCACATACATAATATCTGGCATGTGCTTGAAGAGCAGTTTATTTTTAATTCAAAATAAACAGTACATAAACTGAGGTTGGCTTATTCTGTAGTAAACAAAACAAAACAGGTTTAATTTCAGCTCAGTTGGTACTGGGTTTTGAAGGTTGAGCCCTTCTCGGATCCTTGGTCAGTTCTCAACATGACTTGGTACTATAAAGAGCAAACATGGATCTGGTTACACACATTTATTAGAAATAGCTTCATAACTGAGAGAAATGTGCTGATTTACAGGCTTTGCCTGCAAGTAGTACAGCTCTGAGGAGCAGTGCAGTTGTGCAGTCAACCTCTGCTCACAGGGTGGTTCAAACTTCGTGGATCCTGACCTTGTGCAGCAGTGCAGCACACTCAATCTACGACTCTCTCCTTGGAGGAGAAGCAGTTCAGACCACTCTACATCCATCCTGTTCTTGACCATACTGCCATGTTTTGACAGCTGCAGCAAACCCTTTGTTTCCACTACAGTGCTTTTCAAGGATGACTGTGGTTCTGCTTTCTGGAGTTTTTCCCTTTATAAAAGTTTTTGTTTCTGTTTCCTTGAATGTGAATTCACCTTTGAATGTTCTCTCCTACTACTTCACACTGTTTAAGGCCAAAGATAAGATGCACCATGTTTCAGAAGACTTGTTGTGCTAAGTCTGGAGACTCTCTTCTGTCTTTAACTATGTGTTTGCTGTCTGTTCCTTGCTCAGGGGTACCAGTTTATATATATGTAGTCCTCAGTATGACTCCTGCAGCTTAGTGGCAGGCATACCTCAACTCCTGAAATTCCCAAATACATCTCAAGATGTAGTTATCCCTTTACATGGATGACTGCTTTTAGAGAAACAGTAGGAACATGAGGTTTGTCAGGTTCACTAGATTCAATTTCAAGACCAGTTCAAAGATATCTTGAGACAATGTCAGTTGAAAGCAAAGAATAGCACTGAATTCTTGATTGTAAATTTTAAGGTGCAAAAGAAGAAAACCAAACATCACTCTAGAAATACCCCCATTCAGACCAGCAGGTCAAAGGATGGTGGAGGACTGTCCAGTCATTCTGTTGTTTTTCATAGCCAGATCAGAAATGTTGCTTTGTAGGAAAGGACACAAGTCTTTCTGTCCTTTCTTTCATCTGTTCTGACAACTGCTCCTGAAACCCCCTAGACTTCCCTTTTACACAGTGAAAGAAAAATTGTCCTCCCCCTCTCTTCTTTCTTTGGTTTCTGTTTTTAACCCATCTCATACAGCCTTGCACTGGGAGCTGGTACCATGTCTGCAGTGCTGTGGCAGTGGCACATTCCTTCCTCTTTAAATTACTTTCAGGCTGGTCACAACCTTTTAATGGTTCATCAGACCTCAGTCTCATGGAGAAGCAATTCACATTTTGGATTGCTGCTTTCAGGACGTGTATCTGCCATCTGCCTTGAGACCCACACTGGACTTAAAAGCTGCAAAAAATAATTACCCTCCTGAACAAGGATGTATGAGGGAGTCCATAACTCCCCTGCATAATCTCCATTATGTAGTTTAATGCTAAATGAAAATGTCTAGAATTCAGTCCAAGGTTGGCAAGTGAGTTTTTACATTTCTTGACAAAGAATCAAGGTGCTGGTTTAGTTCCCTCTTCCCAGATGTAATACCTGTTCCTTTATGGCTGTTGTCAATGCTTCCTTTTCATTAATATATTTGATAGAGATATTTTTCCAGCAGTAATCCCCAAAGAGATTAATCTGACTGTCAAGAAAAGGGAGTCTCTTCTACTTGTCTCTTTACTGCTCTTTTTAACTCTTTCACCATATCCCTAAATAAAATGTCAGCATCCAAAATGAAGTATTTGTTATCTGGTGATGTTTTCTGGGGAAGCTTCACAGTCTGTTTCTTTGCCTCCTTTTTTTAGCACAACTGTACTGTACAATAAAATCTCACATCAAATTGCCACAGTAAGGCAAACAAACTAATGTGTGTATAACTGCACTAGTGAAAAGGTCTTTTTGATTTCCCTCTGGGAACTGGTAGAAAACAGGAAATGCAGTTCAGACATCTTTCCATGAATCTCATCATGTCTTCCATGAGAGTTGTTCTTACCACATACCTGAACCAGTGCTAATCCAATATGTAAACCAGTCATCCTGTTCATGAGTGTAGAATAACTTTCTTAGTCAGAGAGAAAAATAAATTCTTTGCAGATACCTGTAGCATGGGCATGTACCTAGTTACCACAGTTAGATCAGTTATAGTGCCTTTTCTACAAAGTAGCTAGTACTTCCATACTCTTTTCCATACTGTATGTGTTTAACTCAAAAGTACAAAGGGACTACCCCAACATTTACTTGTTCCAACTTGGAAACATCTTTATAGAGACACATTTAATGTACTGGACCTCAGTCAGCCCTACAATAGCAATAGTCACTCACAAACATCCACTAAAGAGCCCAGTAATGTAGCTATGATGACTAAGCTTTGCAATAAGAATTATCAGTCTTCTTTTGAAGAACCTAGGTTTTACAATAGTGAGCATTCAGGGAGGTGGTGTTCATGTCAGCTGTGAACAATTTGTTGCTTCAGTCTTTCTATTAATATAAATTGCAGGCTTGCTTACATGTAGCAGGATCCATGGAGTGACAGATGAGTAGGTGTGGGGATTCATATTCATGAGTAACCCAGAATTGGGTCATCCCCACAATTTCAACTGGCTGATGACCAGCTGCCTTGTTCTCCAAGCCCTCATCTATCGTGCCTTCAAGGAATCCATCCTGCAGGGCTGCATGCTTCCCCATGGCTCCCTGAGCAGCTCCTGTCCGCTGTTTTGAACACAATTCCTTGTACGCGGTGCTCTCAGTTCAACCTCTCAATGGTGCTTTTACAAGATGCTGGATACATGGTTTGCGTGTGTAAGTCTGTGACACAGAGTGCTCTCTCTGGTATTGTCTGCTTTCCAGAACTTCCTGTTAACTGTGCTACTCTTGACTACAAAATCTGACAGTGCTGCCCTGTCTCTTGCTCATCTCACTCAGCCAGGGTGGAGTCACCCCGTGTGACAGCCCTGCCTGGGCTGGGACACGGGTGTTTAAAAGCAGCCATTCAGGTCAGGAAGCAGCTAGAGACAGGACTCTCATCTGTGCACTGTGGGACTGGAAACATCATAGTCCAGCTCAAGGACTTTTTTTCTGTCTCCTGTTGTGCATATATATTTGTTTGCCACGTGACTGTAAGAAATCTGTTTCTGTATCAAACATTTTAATTTGGACCACACTCCAGTGAGAAGCTCTTGCTCTTGGGCAAATAACCAGTTATTTCAGATGAGTTTTGTTTTTTGAGGTTGAAGTATGCTTGAATAAGGCTTTTACATGTAATTTGGTATGGTAGTCTGCTGCAAAACAGAAGAATGCAGAAAGATGCTTAGCCTGACAGGTGCTCCTTTGGTGGTGTGCTGAAGACTTTCAAGGGCAGGTCTCTTCCTGGGAGCAGGGAACATAATTACTGTTAATGCAATTTCATATCCTGGTGCTGAAGTTGATTTGTAGCATCTCTTTGGGAAGGTGGTGGCTGAAGTCGTTGCCAGAGCAGATCTCAGCCTCAGAAAAGAAAATATATATAATATATATCCCTTGCTGGCAAGCAACATGTGTTCAGGATTATGTTAAAGATAAATGCTGCAAATGGAACATCACAGAGCTAAAAATATAGGGTTCCCTTTCTTCAACGAGAGAGAACCCCCTTGGCTGGTCAGCATAAAATATCCCAGATACAAGTTACAAAACTTGTTAAACAAATTAATTGCCTATGTGGTGATTTTCCAGGAGTGCATTAAGATATCACATACAGTAGGCACTGTTCTTTTCTCCTGAACAGCAGAAAAATGACAACTTATTTGTAATACAAGATTCCCACTGATTAAGTGACAAAACTTAATTTACATATAATCCAAAGGTCAGCAAGAGTGTCTACACAATGTAGATAAATTTCAGCCCTGGCACCCCAATTTCCATAGAAATGCACAGATTGTCTTTTCATTACAAACCCATTGGTCTGTGCCCAGTCTATGGGAAATATAAATCTTACAGTTCTGTTTTTACAAGCTGTGAGGTTTTGTTTCTTGAGGCCTTCAGTTTTAAACTGGCCAGAAGGACAGTCACTGCAAATATGACAGCAAAGTGCCTAAAAATACGGATGTTTCTGTAAAGGTAAAGATGCTCACTGTTTTTGCACAGCCACTTGATTACTGTATGTGGTGCTCTCTTGCCATACACATTCCTAAATATCTGCTTTCATTTGTGGTGTTTGTTTATTGTTATAATAGCACAGTCTGACAAGGGTTTTGTGTCTGCAAATTCATTGGCTAATTTTAAGTAGCATGTGTTTGTACAGAAAATACAATTTTTTTTTTCATTTAGAAAGCAGGTATGTAATTTCCTATAGTTTATGATAATGCAACAATTGGCTCAGATTATTTATAAGGTATGTAAGTAACTTGACTTCAGAATGCTTCATAAGGGATTTCAGAATGCCTCCTGTTCACTACAAAACAATATAACCTTTTAATCTTGCTATATTGAGGAGGGGGCTGAAACATTACAAATCCTTTTACTATAGGAAAAAAAGGAGACAGTTCTGATGTTTTCAAATCCTAATATCTAAAAATAGAACAATTTTAACTCATATTTTAACTTTCAGCATAGGTGGGATTTGGACTGCCCTCTTATTTATGCAACTGCTCTTCCCCACTATGTTCACCTGTCACCACCTGGGAATCTCTTTTGTCCTTAGTGAAATATGACAGTTGTATACAGGGCACAGAAACTGCATCACATTAACACTCCTGAATGGGACCTTTTCAATGTGCCTGTGAGACTCAGAAGCCTGGACTTCAGTCTGACGTTTTGAGGTAATCTCATCCCGTCTGGAGGACATCTGTGGAGGTCTTCACTTTCTTTCCAGGCAAGAAATTCTGTAGCTTGCAAGCACTCACATGACAGTTAAAGACACATATAAAATGTGAATTGTCACAATGTTTAAATGCATTATTAAAGAGACATCTAAGAGCACAAGAACCTGCTTTCTCACATGTCTGAGGATACTGGAATTTGCTCTTTGTATCTGAGACTGAGAAAGGTCACATAACCAATCTCCTCAGAACATCCTACCAGCAGACAGGTCTTTGAAATGAGCCACTGTGGTGGCTCTTGAGCTTCTGCATGTATCAACTTCATGATTTCCATGTACCAACTTCATGATTTCCAGCAGGGCTCATCTCATCTCATCTCATCTCATCTCATCTCATCTCATCTCATCTCATATCTCATCTCATCTCATCTCATTATCTCATCTCATCTCATCTCACGTCATCTCTGTAGCAATGACTACTTAGGAATGGCCCTTTGCTTCACAGTCCCAACCCCTTTAACTTAAGGAAGGGGATGTGAGCTGCTTCTCCTCAGTCTGACCAGTCTTTCTAGATGAAAGTGTGATGAGAGCCCACCTTCAGAACCACAAAAGAGCATTCAATGTCAGGTACAGCCCACAGCAGCAGCTAGGAAGAAAGGTAAAGTAACAATAGCTAAGTTTCATTTGCATCTTCCCCCATCCCACAGACAACCTGTTTTGAAAGATTTTTAAGGTAGAAAAGGTTACAGTAAAGGGAGGAGGTGCTGGGTCTCACAAGAGATGGATAACTTAGTTTATTCTTCTCAGTATTCCCTGTATAGAGAGAGGCAGGATCAAGTGATGACCACCCAACCATGATGCAGCTGGATTATCTTTTACCAAGCCTCCATATCGACAGAATGGAAATGAATAAATTCTAAATATATGTTTTTGTTCTATTAGAGACCCAACGTGGACAAATGTAAATGCACTAAAGTAAGCACCATGTGTAGATCTGGAGTTGCATCATATGGGGATTTTAGCAAAAAATAAAACCAAAACTCAAACGAACAAAAAAACCCAACTCTAACTGGATTACTTTATTTAAATAGAATTCTTTGCATGAGCCAAGGCTGCAGGATTGGGCCCTAAGAGTTTAGAAGTTTGGTTTAATGATAGGTACTTTTGTTTGTATTTTCAGTGAAATGTATTTTCCTTTTTTTTATATTAGTGAATTGAAATTACTTCCATAAAAACAACAAAAAATAGTCAGTTATAGGTATAATTATGTCTAATAGCTAATTATTAAAATCGTTTCTCAGTAAGTGTCACTTAAAATAGGGTGCTATATGAGCTTCAGCATAAAATTGCTTTATATATCGAACACTGCATACTAAGAACATAGTGGATAAGAATTTGTAAATACAGACATTGTTTATTTTATCCATTGTTTTATAATGGAAAAAGTACGTGTTACTGGGATATCTCCCAGCATAGTTCTCTTACACAGTGTTCTACCAACAAAAAGTGTTTTCTGGACAACTATGTGAGTCTCTAATCACTGACACAGAACTGCAAAACATCCTCAAAACAGTATGAGCTTGTGCAAAGAGAGGCTTAGGACTGTCCTGGCTATCTTACAGTGGATATAGTGGAATATCCTGTGAAGTTCGGCTCTGTGGGCAGTGAGAGCAGCTCAGTGATTCAATGACTGCGCCATATACACAATGCATGGAGTCAGTGCATGCAGACTTCTGAGATGGCAATAGCTAAGGCTTGTTTGCTACATGAAGTGTTATTTGGCTTGCTATCTGTTTGAAATCAAAATGTTTTAATCAACATCACTGCAAACACTGAAATACTGTAGTTTTGCAGAATGTATGTTCTATAAATTGTAGTTTAACTGTAATTGCAGGGCTTATCCTACTGTGAGAGCAGTTCACATCCAACACTAAATTGCATTTTGTAAATTAACAAATGCCATTAAATTCCTCACAATATTTTGTAATAGTATACACACGTTTATGTCATTTAGTCATACCTTTGTTCCAAGAATCTTCATCAGACATTTCTATAGCCAGTTCAGCTGAAAGCACAGTAGGCAATTATGGTTATTTACTATAAATGTAGAAAGTTTTATGTAAATATTTCTGGGGGGAAAATGCTACATGAACATATGAAGCAGTTATCTAAAAGTAAGAACATAGGCCAATAATAAAAAATGCAGGTTTTATTTATGTACAGTAGCATCCTAATAGTTACTTGTTTATATGCAGAAAAAAAATCATATGATCCTGTACTGTATTCTCTGAAAGCATTTAAAAGAGGCTCTGCCATTTTCTCTGGTTATTATATTTGCAAATAACTCAAATTTATTGGAAATCCATGTAAATGATGTCAAATGGGAAACATGTTACATTGCAATGAAATTAATTTAATTCAAACATCCTGGCACAATTAATTGGATTAAAATCTATATATACATTCAATAGCCAGACAGAATAAACCACAATAATTAAGCTTTGTCTTTTGTTTTAGTGGTTGGTTGGTTGGTTGGTTGGTTGGTTGGTTCTTATCTGTGCTTTTTGTTGTTTTCTTAACAAATATGTTATTCAGTCCTTGCAGTCACTTCATCCTGCAGGTCTTAAAACCTGCATTATTTTATAGAATTCTGTTTGTTCTGGGAGTTTTGTGCTGATTTCATTGTCTGACAAGAACTACTAAGACTTCTCTGTGATATATAGCACCTTGCTCCTCCCAAAGCCACAATCCTGCCAAGATTCAAGCATGCACACAACAGCACCAACT